TATGGATCTTCTTTGGAGAAAGGTTACAGGTGTGTGTGTGTGTGTGTGTGTGTGTGTGTGTGTGATCGAGATCTAATTCACATGACCATAGAACTTACCCTTTCAAAGTGTGCAGCTTGCCGGGTTGCAGCATAATCACACAGTCGCACAACCACAGCAGCCTGATGGCTTTTTGCACTTGTACAAACATTTTGTACAGAATATGGAATGTTCCACACCCCTTCCCTGATCCGTCTGCCTCAGGCTGCCTGCCACCTTTATCGCAATCTGTTTCATAGACTTATTTATGTCAAAAAGATTTTGTTTTTAAGTAATCTCTACACCCAAGGTGGGGCTCGAACTCACGACCCCAAGATCAAGAGTCGCACGCTCTCCCGACTGAGCCAGCTGGGTGCCCCCTCCCAAAGTATTTTGTGAGTGACGAGGTGGCTTGGCTCTACAAGGCTGGAGTCCCCCGGAAGGCAGGGCCGGGAGCTCTTTTGGTCATTCCAGTAAACCCAGTGCCTGGGACACAGTTGGTGCTCCATAAATGCTCATACAGTGACCGAGTGAATGGTCCAGCCACGCCCTTGATCCTTTAGCAGGCTTTTTCAGCTTTGAGGACAGTGGGGTGCCCTGGCATTTGGTGATCAGGGACTGTGGACACTTGACCGTCTGGTCCCCGAGCCCCTCGGCAGTCCCTGGGAAGGCCCCGCCCCAGAAGGGCTGATGTGGCCGTCTGGCCGCCTCCTGGCTTGCCCGCCCTCAGACCTGGGTGAGTGCACAGGAAGGAAGGAAGGCCGGGGTCTATTTTAGTCTGTGGCCCGCTCCCCCGGGACAGTAGTCATCTCCCTGTCTGGCTGCGTGGATGGGGGTTCCTGGCACAACAATGGGTCAGGGATGGGGGGGGGGTCACGCAGCCGGGCTGGCCCAGGTGTCAGCGGGTCTGGGGACTGGCCGGAGGGGTTAGGAGTGTGGAGGCCGAGAGGGAGGCTCCCTTTTCCTTCTGGGCTTAGGAGGGAGGTCCTGCTGAGGGCCCAGCTCCCCTCCCGGCACATCCCACCTCAGGACTTGGCAGATTGGAGAGCCAAGGCCCAGAGACGGATGGAATCCTCCCGAGGGTCACACAGCGACTGAGATAGGCCGCAAGACCAGGGCTCCAGGGCACTTAGGGTCCAGGTACCTTGGCCTCATCCCTGGACCCAGGGAAAGGCCTTTTCCTCTCTGAGCCTCAGTTTGTTCATCTGTAAGCTGGGGAGACTGGACTCAGGACCTTGGGGTTTCTTCTCGTTTGCGTTCGCGGACATCCTTTCCCTCATGCATTCAACGAACGCTTGCGGGGTGCCCGCTGTGTACCAGGCCCCGGGCTGACTGCTGGAGGCACGGTGTGGACAAGGGAGACCCAGTCCCTGCCTGCGCCGTCAGGCCAGGGAGATGAGCAATGAAACCAAAGGGTACGAGGCCAAAATGGAGCACGCCAGGGCGCCACGGGAGCCGCCAGGCACCTGGCCCAGCCTGGGACATCCAGGAAGCCTTCCAGGAGGAGGTGACTGTGACACTGAGATTTGGATGAGCAGTTTACAGGATGAGTAATAGGGAGAGGAGGGGCCCCGGTAGAGGGAACAGGACAGAACATTCTAGAGAAATGGGTGGGAGGCAGCAGGGCGGCACGGGCACCCCTTGTGCCAAGCCGCTCTTTTTCCAGAGAGTCTGACAGAGAAGTAGGTGTGTCCATTCAGGGAGCTTGAATGGCGGAATTCTAGGCCGTGGCATCCAGCTTCTGGCCCAAGGGAAGCTCGCAGCCTGGGTGGAGGTGGGGGGGGGGGGAAGGGAGGGCATTGGATTGGCCACAACCTTCTGCCCTAGGACAGAGTTCTATCTTCCCCATTTTACAGATGGGGAAACTGAGGCATGGGGCGGTTATGTTGCTTGGCTAAGCAGTCAGGCCCCGGGGGGCTGGATCTGTGGCTGACACAGCTCCCGGTGCCCGAGAAACTCGGGTGATTTGCAGGCGTCAAGCGGGGAAGGCGGAGGAAGTTAGGCACGCAGAGGCGGGCGGTCAAGGGTATTGCTGTGTGGCCTTGGGGCCGTGGCTCAGGCTCTCTGAGCCTGTGTCATTTCTTCAACAAACTGGCAGCCAGCCTAATACCCGGCGGATATGAGGAAACGGTCACACGCTGCCGGCTCAGGGCCTGCCCCGTGGTGCTGAGTCAGCAGCACCCCTGCTCTGGCCCAGGCCTGTGTAGCCCCGGGGTCTGGTGACTGGTGTGGGGGGCAGGGAAGGCGGTCCAGTCCTCGCCGTGGCCACCCTGACCTCTGAGGGCAGCGCAGGCGGAGGGGACTTCTCCCGGGGTGTGAGCTCGCACAAAGATGGTCTTTGTGGGGGCTCTGGGCTGAGTGGGCACCCACGGGGCATTCCTGGTCCGGCTGGCCTGGGGCTGGGGTGGGGGTGGCTTCGACCAGGGCCTGGGGCGATGGGTGAGGGCCGGAGGTGGCTCTCAGGCTCGCCTCATTCATTTTTCTGGAGTCTCCAAGGACACAGCAGGTAAGGAATCAGGCCTCTTCCCTCCCCCGTGGGCTGGGGTGACAAGGCACGGTTGGGGAGTGAAGCCCGGGGCAGGGGCGGAGCAGTGATGGGGGATGGAGGGGCACTGTGTGGCCCAGAGGCCGTGCCTCACCGTGGGTTTGTTCGGGGATGGCTTCCTAGAGGAGACAGGATCGAAGCGGAGCTAAGGGATGAAACTTCGAGAAGAGGCCGGGGCTCAGGGGCCAGGGCTTTGGGGGATGAATAGGAGTTTACCGGCAAAGATGCCGGGATCTGAATGGGGTGTGGGGCTTGGTCCTGGGACCCGCGTCCTCAGAAGAAAACGGTCCATGCTCAGATGTGCAGCTTAGGAAGATTCTGGCACTATAGGAAGGAGGCGGCTGGAGGGAGGCTCCGGAGCTTGGGGAATCCAGTAGTCTGACATGGAGACAGGTCCCTGTTCACCGAGGGCTGGACTGCCACGCCCCTTGCCACTGTCCCAGCCCAGGAAGGGTGGGAGCTGTCACAGGTCAGTGTTTCCATATCACAGGCGGCGGCATTGGAACGATGTTTCTAGAAACCTCACTCGTGACCCCCCCCCAGGCCCCACAGCCCAGGATGCTGCCCACGCCGGAGGCGGGCCTCGGGCCGTCTGCTGTAAACGCACAGGGCCAGTAAGGCTGCGGGATTGGGAACAACTGGGCTCCGCCACTCTGAACAGCTGGGGCCTGGGACCCCGTCTCACTGCACTGCAGGATGGGGGCGGGGAATGCCCGGCGGGACTTCAGGGGCTTGGAATCCACCTGTCGTAACGCACCGTGAGGTCCTCCTCAACCCCGCGGCAAGGCTGGTGCCGGGCCCGCAAGCGGTGGCCTTCAGAACATCCTGCCCAGATGTCCCCCTCCTTCCTTTTTTTTTTCACTTTTATTTTTATTTTTTAGAGAGTGGGGAAAGGGTGTGAGAGAGAGAGAGGATCTTTCTCCGCTCGGCGCGGAGCGTCGGGTGGGGCTCGATCCCCCGACCCCGAGACCATGACCTGAGCCCAAACGAAGAGTCACTCGACCGACCGTGCCACCCGGGTGCCCCGAACATCAGAGTCTTGAGCTCAAGCCCCGCCTTGGGCACAGAGCTTCCTTAAACAGAGAGACAAAACGGCCCGCCTCCAGGCCTGAAGCTCTGTCGGCCCGGGCAGTGCCCCTCCACCCGCTTTGTCACCTGTCGCTTCCTCCGGGAGGCCTGCCTGTGCCCGGCAGCTCTGGGGAG